CACCAGAGACAGCATTGTACATACAATGTACTCCAGAGACAGCATTGTACATACACTGTACACCAGAGACAGCATTGTACATACACTGTACACCAGAGAGAGCATTGCACCATACACTTTGCACCAGAGACAGCATTGTACATACAAGGTTGCACACACAACAAGACAACACTGTTCGTCACTAACAACAGTGACAAGGCTGCACACACTGCAAGACAACGCTGTACGTCACTGACAACAGTAGCAAGACTGCACACACTGCAAGACAACGATGTTCGTCACTGACAACAGTGATAACAGTTACAGGACTGTACGTCACTGACAACAGTGACAATATGCACGCACACACGCTGTACATCACTGACAACGGTACCAACAGTGACAATCTGTACGTCACTGACAACAGTGACAATGCTGCACACACTACAAGACAACGCTGTATGTCACTGACAACAATGACAACAGTGACAGGGCTGCACGCACTACAAGATAATGCTGTACGTCACTGACAACAGTGACAAGGTTGTACATACTACCAGACAATGCTGTACGTCACTAACAACAGTGACAAGGCTGCACACACTACAAGACAAGGCTGTGTGTAACTGACAACAGTGACAAGGTTGCACACACTACAAGACAATGCTGTATATCACTGACAACAGTGACAAGGCTACACGCACTACAAGACAAGGCTGTACGTCACTGACAACAGTGACAACGCTGTACGTCTCTGAAAACAGTTATAAGGTTGCACACACTACAAGATAATGCTGTACGTCACTGAGAACAGCGACAAGGTTGCACACACTACCAGACAACGCTGTACGTCACTGACAACAGTGACAAGGTTGCACACACTACAAGACACTGTTGTACGTCACTGACAACAGTGACAAGGTTGCACACACTACAAGACAACGCTGTACGTCTCTGAAAACAATGATAAGGTTGCACACACTACAAGACAAGGCTGTACGTCACTGACAACAGCGATAAGGTTGCACACACTACAAGACAAGGCTGTACGTCACTGACAACAGCGACGAGGTTGCACACACTACCAGACAACGCTGTACGTCACTGACAACAGTGACAACGCTGCGCGTCTCTGGAAACAGTTCTAAGGTTGCACACACTACAAGATAATGCTGTACGTCACTGACAACAGCGACAAGGTTGCACACACTACCAGACAACGCTGTACGTCACTGACAACGGCGATAAGGTTGCACACACTACCAGAAACGATGTTCTTCACTGACAACAGTGACAACAGTGACAAGGCTGCACGTCACTGACAACAATGACAAGGTTGCCACACACACACACACACACACACACACACACACACACACACACACACACACACACACACACACACACACACACACACACACACACACACACACACACACACTGTTCATCACTGACAACAGTCACAAAGCTGCACACACTACAAGACAACAAGGCTGGGCTGGTTGTCTCGTGAGTCACACAGGAAATGTGTATGGTCGGCCGCTGTCTTATGAGCTGTAATTATTGTGTGTAGCTGTAGTCCTGTGCTTACAGTGGGCGGACATGGCCGCGTTGTGATATCAACCGGTGAGTTTTCACTTCCTCATAGCACATGTATGTAAGTATTCGTATCACGACAGTATAGGATACATGTCTTGTAAAGTTAATATTTCGTAATGCTCAATACAGTATGTAATACTTCTGTTCAAGCGGCTAGACCATACGTAATCCTTTTATCAACCATCATATCGTTGTGTTGTGTTAATGACACGTCAGTACTTTATCAGATGTTTATAAAAGACGCGGCATATCAGTCAGGCATATGTATAATGACTAAAATCAAATACTCACAAACCGAACTGTTCCTAACTTCCTATCTCAGGTTAAATCTTTGAGACATATTGTGAACGCTATCAAGAAGAATATTCAATTCAATATATACATTCTACGGGAACCTTGCATGTATACAACTACACTTTTTGTATGGGCTGGATTAAACTGACATGTCCGTCTCTCCGTCTGTCTGACGGTCTGTGTGAGTGTCTGTCTGAATGGCTACCAGACGGTGCCTCTCTGTCTACAATGTCAGTCTGTCTGTATCTGTGCCTGTCTGTCTGTCTGTCTGTCTGCATGCTTGTCTGTATGTCGGGCTGTTTCTCCGCCTGACTGACAATGTCTGTCTGTATGTCTGTCTGTCTGGCTGTATGTCTACGTGCCTGCACATCTGCTTCTGAGTCTGTCTGCTTGAACCACTTGTCTGCCCACCTGACGATATCTGTCTGTCTGTCTGAGTGCCTGTCTGTGTGTCTGTCTGCCTGACTTCCTGCCTGTCTGCCTGTCTGCTTGACTTGCTGCCTGTCTGTCTGTCTAAAAGAAAGCAAAGTGCCACAAGAAACCTTAATTTGTAACTGATAATAACACTCTTATTTTCATGGTAGAAATACGGGACATGAAGTAAATAACTATTGAAGCCCACTTCTGATCATAATTACATTTGTGAGTAGACCGTTTGAACGTATCGCGACAAAGACCCGTATTTGCGGCAGTCGAGAAAAAGGACATATGGGAATCTACAGAAGCCATGAACTGCCCGCATTGTTGATTGTTGAAGCGAAACCACGTGTGATGCAAAAACAACGTCAACACCTGCCAGCCGTCGAACACTCCGAACAAGGAACATTGAGAGTTACCTCCCCTGCAATATTTACATTTGATGGTGTTAACGGAATCTTGGCATTGAGTAGATGCGTAAAGAGGAGATGATTAAATATTAAAGAAGCTGTAATTTAGCAATGCTTCCATCAAAGATGAATTATTATATTTGCGAAATAGATCCATAAATCGTTATGTGTCTTCAACTGTAAACAATAGCTTTGAAAATCAACGGAATCGATCCAACAATTAGTGCTGGACGTAAGCCCATTAATAAGAAAATAATCATACCCCGCTGAAAGGAAATTGTTGAAGTGATTTATTCGTGAAGGGGATAAAAGCTTCGTAACTGCTTTCGTCCCTATAACACCTGAAATGATCGTGAATATAGATTGACCATGTCATCACGTTAACGTTGTGATTAGCGAACGTGGCAGTGGTATAAAACCTCCTCAATGTTACTTACATGTATAGGACCGTGTATCTTGAGTGTGGGAGTGTGGTTTTACGCTGCTTTTAGCAATATGTCGGCAATATCACGGCGGGGGACAAAAGAAATGGGCTTCACACATTGTACCCTTGTTGGGAAGCGAACCTGGGTCTTCGACGTGACGAACGAACGTTTTAACAACTAGGCTATCTAACCGCCCCTTAACTATGAGTGAATCAATGTGGATCTGCGCTGTTTTTTAACAACATGACTGACTGTAGCAGGCAGTGGGTATCCTGGAAAGGGGCATTAGTGGCTCTGTCGTCTCAGGCGCCGCAATTCGTTCTGCAGAGTTGGGTCCGAAGATCGTTGGTTCGGGTCCCAGATTCGCTCTGATTTTGAATTTGGTTTGTCAGCACCTTACTCGTGCTTCTGCATTGTGAACAGAAGAAATGCATCATTTCTGACCTTTCCTCTCACATCATGCTGTCACTCTCATATAATATTATATTAATAAAATGAACATGGAAATTCTTTGTTCGTGTACAACTTCTAATCACTAAAAGAAAGCGCAATGAATACTAACATCTACTGATTTAGTATCTTGTATAAATGACATGGTATGATAAAAACATATTTTTTCAATACTTCAAACTTGCAAATTTATGCTTGATGATGACGAGTTGCCATGTCAACCATTCTATTATATACAGAAACTTCTTCAATCGACTTCATATGTACACTATGGTTCGCACTGATGATGATTCCTGGTTTGGTAGCCCGTGTTGGTGGACAGACACACACTCTCACAGACAGACACACACACAGACACACACACACAGCCGCACACATAGGCACCCACAGACACACATACACAGACACACAGACACAGACACACACGGAGACACACCGACACACCTACAGACACACACAGACACACACAAACATACACAGACACACAGAGACGAACTCACACACATGACCAGCTGTAATACAGACACACACAGCCATACACATAGACAGACACACACACAGGCACAGACAGACACAGACACACAGAGACAGACACACACATAGGCACAAACACACAGACTGACACACACACGCACACACACACACACGCACGCACGCGCACACACACACACACACACACACACACACACACACACACACACACACACACACACACACACACACACGACCAGCTGTAAATACAACTGAAACACTGTTGGAAGCGGCGTTAGCACAAATCCACTCACACATGACTAAAGTCCCATTTGTTCAGGTAATAACAGCTTACAATGCATCGTGCCCTTTACACGAACAGGATGCAATGCCCATTAGCAGTCTACAGTGTACACTCAGCGTCCTGTGTGACTTCAGGACACTGTTATTGACAACGTAACTCATCATTTCGAGTTACAACTCGGTCCTGGAACGAGCTAAATGATGTCAGCCGAGTTAAATATTACCTAGCTCAATCATACAACCCAGCCCGCTCGCCACAAGGACCCTCCTCAAACAACGTAGTATTGGTTCACTGTGAAAACATAAAATTATTCCTTTCACAACACTTAATTTCTGTTCCATGTGAATCGTTTTATGATAGAAAATCTACTAGAACCGAACCCCAATACACCTAACAACACTCCATATTGTTAAAAAAGACGCTACATTTAAAGCCTTTAAGTCAGTATGTATGTATGTTTATATCGCACAGCGGTCCATTCTGACGTTTTTCAACCACTTTAGTGATTACCTCTAGGTGGGACCCAGCACTGTACACTGATTGATATGAGTTTATTTGTGTTGGAACATATGACACTGCCCTTTGATCAATATCTGTAAAGTAAATGTTTGATCGTTCTAACCCCTCGTGTTTTCCGTTATATTTTACCAGGCAATAAAAACCAGTCTCTGAGAACCAGAAAGACGAAGGAAGCATGGCTGTCCGCGCCGTCAACGAAACAGGTAAGACATTCTGGTTTCTGTAATTATACTTTATGCCTGTTGTTTAAACACTTGAGACCTGCCTTGGCCTGAACAAGGTCTAAGTGGCCATTGAAATCAACCCCGACGTGTTCCATCCCTGAAAGAGTTACTGTTTGTTTCAAGTTTGGAAAGGACATGAAATGAGCTGTCATCTAAACTTGCCGTTTCTCCTTCGAAAGAATATTTCCTATGTGGAAAGCTTTGGATTGAGCTTCATTGCGTTAGATCACTTTGTATAGTTTTTGTGTTTGTTTGTTGTTTAACGCCGCACTCAGCAATTCTCAAGCTATATGACGGCAGTCTGTAAATAATCGTGTCTGGACCAGAAACTCCAATGCTTGACATAAGGAACATCTATCTACGCAATTGGGATACGATGACAAAAGTCAGCGAGTCTGACCACCCAATCCCGTTTGTCACATCTTACGAAAAGCATGGGTTGCTGAAGAGCAATTCTAGTCGTTGATCATCACGGGACCCTTTGTGTACTGTTGTCGGGGAACGTATTATGCTCTCTATATTAATATAAACCCACATGTGGAAAGATGGTATTTGTGTTTGTGTTCCCAGCTCTGGTAAGACTTGTAGGTTTTGTAAAGTCCAGTAGCTGTGACGAATAGTCACTGGAGACGAGGGTTTCCTTTAATGAATGGGTTCCAATGTACTCCAAGAACCAGCTACCATTCTCCGGTTCCATGGGGCTATACGCTGAGTCAATCTCTTTAAAATCAGATCTTAGTTCTCGCTAAACGAAGATCTGAGGACATCCCATTATAGGTCACGTCAGAACAACCTTTCATCCAACCAATCAGAGCGTCGCTTACCACATCATGAAAGTGACGGACGGAATGTGTTTTCTAATCATGCAACCTCGAAAAATGTAACTGAGAGTATTCCGAACGACAGTTACGGGTTTTATGATTATATCCATACAATCTAGGCTATCTATAAGCCATTCCATAATGTTCTAAAAAAATTATAATCGAGAATACGTCAAAAATATGTAGACGCCAGTTTGAAACTTGTGTCGTAAAGCTCGAGAAAGCTGCCTTCTGATTGGCTAATGTCGATTTCTTGTCAGTCATTTCATTGGTCGGTCAAAGTTCGCGAAAGGTCGTTCTGACGTGACCCGTAATGGGATGTCCTCAGATCTTTGTTTAGCGGTAGCGAAAACTAATATCTGATTTTAATGAGAGTGTACGCTGAGTTGGTCCATGTGTTGATGTGATGTGTGCAGTTGAAACTGCAGTACTTTGTTCCATTTGCTGTAGACCGTGTTTTGCCTGACATTGACAGGAACTGGGCCCACTTGCACAAAGCGATCTTAGCGCTAAGACTATCGTAAGCCTATGTTAAAGTATGGGAGTTACGATCATCTTAACGCTAAGATCGCTTTGTGCAAGTGGGCCCTGATGACCATAATGCATTGCTCTACTTATCACCGTGGGACCATCGACTCCCCGCACACCTGTAGAAACACGCCTGATATGGTTATGTCGGATAGAATGTTGCAATGTAATACTATTATATATCGTGTTCTTTGAATACTAGGGTTCAGGCTAGACCCGCTTGTTTACTAAATAAATGGTAAATATGTCAACCGACATGCATTGATGAATCGTTTTATCTTCCTTCTGTTGATTAAAGAGCGCTACACTTCTTTTAGTTGATTATAGGTAAACATGTCTATCAGCAATCAGTGAAGGACGTTTAATTTCACAGTAGACATAATCAATTAACTTTAGTTACAAGTCAGATCTCACGATTATTTGTAAACAATTCTTCCAGTGTGCACCGCACGCGAATTAACGTACCATTTCAATCTAGATGATTAATGGCGTTCCTACGTTGGAATTTGACGTTGACGTATGTTGTCTGTAATTCGATTATTGGTGGCAAATTATGAGGCACGACGGGGCTGTTGAACTAGGTCGAATAGGTTTTATTAGGTATAATTTGTTTGTCAATTACAACTTTTGCTTCCTTGTCTACTTGGTATTAACGAAAACATTTGAACAGCAAGAACCAGTGTGAGAACCCTTTATGCATCTTCCCGAGCCGAACGTGGCTGGAATTCCTGGGCTCGATTGTAGCGACACCAGTGGCTGTTACGAGTTATGTCCCTTCTATGCCTCTCCTATGGACCAATCAGATTCCACCTCTCGTGTCACTTGCATTTGTTTCAAACAAAATGGCGGCGCCAAGACAAGACGATCTGATCGACAATCAAGATCTATACTATGATAAAACGGGTCTTACATCGCGAAGTGCATCAATTCACGTGAGCACCTTGATAAAAAAACTTGAAAAGATTTGGAAAATATCTGTTGACAACGAGTTGACGGTACACATGCTTTGCAAATAAAGCAATCCACCGAACTCTGCACGACAGTTTACGAACAGGATTTCGATTTCGGTTCGCGATTTTGATTGGACTATGCATAGACTCGATAGTCCAGCCAAAATCTAACTCCTTAATACCAGCTTTGTTCGGCAAGGGTGGAAACTGGACTTTTATACTCAGTTAACTCCCTTGCCTCGGGATGATGCCTTTATGAGCCTTTAGAACTGATAGATGGTATTATGGCGTTTCCTGTGTAACAAACATCGTGTATTCTAACTTAAATCTAGCTAACTTAGTAAATATATCTACATATATTTCATTCAAGTCATTATAGTGAGATGGTGTTGTGGATGTTAGATGAAACGACGTCCGCAACGCCTCTGTATCATCCGATACCAACAGGTCATGCGTATAGGGCAAGGGTGACCCAGTCATCTTAGGCGCATAGTTATGCCCCTTAGGGTGTTCCAGGAACCTATGGCCATGAGTTCGAATCCCAGTTAACTTTGATTGTTTCTAAATGTGTACGCACCATACCAGTCTCCTGAGTTTCTCGAAAGTTGTAAAATATAAAATCACTTCAAGCTTTCCTCCCACGGGCTATAACTGGAATACTGTACAAAGCGGATCTGAATCCCGGCATACCCACGAATCTCTGCCATGAGCATCATCCAACGTTGCAATCACTCAACCGTAAAATGGTGATAGATAAATTGGACGCGTAGTTTCAAAGTTCTGTACGTTAGTAAGGTTGATATATTCAATAAAGTTTCCTCTGGACTCAAATTATTGGATAACATGTCTTTATAGTTATATGATTTACAATGTTTTAATGCATTAGGAAAACACTTAAAACTATGTTTGATATATGTTACGCGATTGCTTCTACGTGAATGTGTAATTCCCCAAATTCTGTGAAAACACCGAACTTCAGTGATCGATCAACAGTTAATTAATGTAGGAACGTAAACCTTTCAACCGATATCATAACAATCAACATGTTCTCTATGTATATGCAAATTATCAGTAGTGTAAATAAACACCTCCATAGTTAACTTTTAACGTTTATTAACCATAACAACAGGACGTTTAAAGTAATGTGTTGTTACATCCCTTTACTTGGGGCACAAATACACGTATAGGTCAGTATCTACTGGCGAAGACGCTCAGTGGGGATAGGCAATTATGCCGGTGCATCCGGGTTTGCAAAAGTCTAAGCCACATGTTATATCATGGGATGACGAGGGGGCATGGTATATGCAAAGTCAAACAAGTATTAAAAGAAGTTAATTTACCACATTAATTAAACAATCACAAATCATCACCACGGATAATGCATTATACACAACACATTTTAGTCTGGACAAGCTTCTCACACATCTTTGAACTTTAAAACAAATGTTTGGTAGATATCATCAGTTATAATATCACATTTGTCAGTTTCCTGTCGGGCAGGTTAAATATGCATTGCTGAATGGATCAGGTCAAGTAGTGTCTCCCTGGAGGACACTTTAGTGTGTACTCCAAGTGAGACAAGTTTGTCTCGCAAGTCAGCAACACACATGTCATCTAAATGTGACTGAGTACTGGGAACAACGCTGCTGATGTCATTTTGTCTATTGGCCCTCTTTGTGCTTCTAGCCTCTTGTAGCTCAGATTCCCAATACTCATGCTTACTTTTTGTGGAGGGTCGTTTTGTCCTAGCCAAGTGTGACTGACTTTCGACGCGCTTTCTGATGTTCATTGTCTCAATAGGACCGTCCCACTTTTGTATTTTCTGCTGATGAATCCTTTTGATATCATCATTTATTCTTTCAAGAGCCTGTCAACTAAATTTGCCAATATTCCCGTGCCTCGACATGAAAACGAGAACATGATGCCTTTAGAGCTTATGCTTTCAATCCAATCAAAACACAACAAAAAATAATATTTCAGTGCTTCCATTTTCCCCTATGTTATAACGAGGATAACAGTACAAATAATGTTGTCATAGAAATTAGAGACAGACAGGTGTAACTCTAATGGACTAAGTGATGTCTTCATATCAGTTAAGTATCATTGTAAGTACACATCATCAGGGTATAGACAAATTCGAAGATTATCAACATTTCCTGGCTTAATTAGCATTGTTTGTAATGTTAAAAACGACAGCAGTGGATATTAATGGTCATGATATTTGTATGAAGGTCCTAAAGAATGGTTTTAGAATGGCTCAGATGACACAAGAAATACAATCGTTGCTGTGCCTTTTGTAAATGTAATCTGTATTGACATTCCATGCTAGTTTGTGATCAGGCTTATTTCATTTAGCTCATAATCTTTTCTTTGTTTCATGAGTGAGTGAGTGAGTTTGGTTTTACGCCGCTTTTAGCAATATTCCAGCAATATCACGGCGGGGGACACCAGAAATGGGCTTCACACATTGTACCCATGTCGGGAATCGAACCCGGGTCTTCGGCGTGACGAGCGAACGCTTTAACCTCTAGGCTACCCGACCGCCCCCTTTGTTTCATGAACATTTAATAGCAAATAGGCTTCTTGACACCGGTTTGTAAATTATGTACATCAATTCAGAAATTCTTTAACAGTTCAGCGATCGCACCATATCTGAACATTTCAGTGAGGCAATTATTAA